TTTTGTGTATTCCATAATTCCCTCAATGACACGAACACAGTCACCAATTGACCTATTCTTAATAAATGCTGTTTGACCTTCATTGATTAATTTATCCAGAGTATGTTCTGGGCGTTTAGCAATGGACCTAGCAGCAATCTTATAATCAACATTAAATAATGTTATTGGCCTCCAATTACATATATGCCTTTTATCTTTGCCTGCCTTTTCTATAAGTGTAATTACCCCCTGTGACTGACTGTTAGACATATTCCCTTTAATTGTTGCAAAATTTAGTGATTTGACTACATATGGTTCTAATAAGGGCCAGAAAGCTAGATAAAATTCTGCAGTCAGACCATCATTGCCTGGAGTTTTATTTTTGTTCATGCTATTTAGTGCATTAAGCCCCTCTTGGACCGTAATTTCCCCTTCACAAATCTCTCGAGTTTTCTGATTGAGCATTGGAATATCATCATTGTCCAAAAAGCTTTCAGTAATACTTGAACCGTTACAGGGACCCCGTGAGTTAGAAAGACTAGAAAAACAAGTCAAATATTTCCAAATGAATTGCTTTTACATCAGTCACAATTTCTCCAGATGAGTGAAATAGCTGAGTGATTTGAGATTTTTTTGCATTTTGTTTTTCAAGGCATAAAAATATTTTGTGTTTTTTTTCTCCCATTTCATACCAATCAGCACGAGCACGAACGGCTGCACGGTTTATTACAGTTCTTTTTACTGAATAGATCATATAAATCATATCTTGCTTGGTTCATTCATTATCAACTAATTTGTATACAATTCGGAAACGTTCTGATATCTCAACGCTAGGATAAAATTATATAACCTGTATTTTGGCGATATATTTAATGTCATTGCAAGGACCTTTATATAATCTTATCACAACAACTTAAACTTGTAATTTTAAATTGCCCGTATTTCCACTTCATTGCACAAATACCCTCAAAACAGACGATTCTGTATAATCTTTCGTTTATTAAATATGTATGTGGTTTTCGGCATTATTTTTTCAGACACAGAACCACTCTTGACAACACTGCGCCATTTTTATTGTTTATGATGATCGCAGACTGTATTAATGAAATCTCGTATTAGACATTTTTTATTGTATCTTTGTACTAATTCACACGACACAATTATTTTTCTAATTTTGTCTGTAACAATATTATATGTACATATCCACCGAGTTATGTATAGATGTATGAATTGCTCAGTTTCATTCACTATTTGTTGCATTTTTCTATGATGCAATAGTGCATTACATTGGATGGCAGGTTAGTGAGCCTTTGATCAGCCCTTTAAAATCAATAATATGTACACAAGATGCCATTTTCCCCGGCACGACTTCTTTAATAAAGTTATCGTAAGGAATTCACAGTAGTTATCATACTTGGTAAAAGGGGACGTTGATAGTCTTGTTTTAGTAGTAAATTCATCCGTTTTAATATATAAATACATATATATTAATAATTTTATACTACTTTAACGCCTATATTGTGTTGTAGTAGTGTTTACAATGATAATCTGCGAACTATTTGTAGATTTACCTGTAGTCTGGTATTTCAGTTCGCCAATAAATGATTAGCTGTGCCATATTCAATGGTAGCAAAACTAAGAAGGTTTAAAGACGAAAATCAAGCTGACCAGCAATGAAACTTTTACATAACCTGAACGTTTACCGATTTGAGCCAAACTTGTTTTCCGTGTAGCTAGAATATAATCTGCATGCGATACTTATACGGTACTAGTATTATTATAATACTCTAAACCAGAATGCTAAAATCGATCGGATCGGGCAATGCAAATTGTGCAGCATCTCCATAACAATTTGACAGGAACATCTACCTAGAATTTAATCTGATCGATTAGCTAGATTTCAGATTTGATTAATACGAATTAAGATATCTTTAATACGAATTATTGTATAAGTTGTATAAAACAAATTTCGAGAACTGTCATGATTTATATTTGCATGTATTTGGATGCGAGCCTCTTTTGGCAGTTGTAGCGACGTTCACTGATAACCCCTGGATAATCCACACCTGCTCATAACTTGTCATGGCCAGTTTCATTCGTATGTTAGCGGGATTAGATGTTGGAACAACTGGCAGATGTAAATGTCAACTATGAAATGTTGTTCTAATACTTGTGGCGCCGAACTAACGGGTTCATGTGGAAGTTATTCCCGAAATAGGGGCGATTTTTTATTTTGATGTTTATTCAAGGCAGAGATGTACAAACCAAGTGAATAAAATCAGTCAGCGCCGTGTACATCAACACCTCTATAGTTCTGCTCACGGTGTTTCGCAAAAGAATTTAACATAGTTACACCTTTAGATAAATTGAACCTTCCATCAAAGCACATGCAAAATGTTAGGCACACCAAATTTCTGACTTCCTTGTGATGGAACAATGCTCCAATGTGTCATCTATCTAATCAGGTAGTTAGTCCAACAGAATTTTAAGTAATTAGCCACAACTAGTGAACCCCAAAAGACATTTTTAACTTTGGTTATCCCTCTATCTATTTTGACCCACAAAAAAATGAATACACAACAAAAATCCGGCCCTATATGCTCCAACGCTTTTTAAAACACGTAAGAACAACTTTATTAAACATGCAGATAGTTTCTGCATTGTAGAGAAATTTGCCAGCTGTTCCAATAGTTCCAATCAACGTTAATTACAATTTTGAGAATAAGTCTTTATTTACAAAGGGTAAAAACACAGTTACATAAAAATGCAATCTTCCTTGTGGCACTCAAGAAATAAAAAATCATGAAATGAATAAATAAATTACAGATTTTCATCTATGATGACGACAGAATTTTTGGTAACTGACAAAATTACTGTAACAGATGAATAAAAACAAGTAATACAAGTAAGTACAAAATGAAGATAATTAGGATTACACTGTATTTAGCTGTCTAACTCCTCTGTGATTCAGCCCAAGCCTGGACTTTTGAAATAATGGTTAATCCTGGGGTTGGTGTGGGTAAAATTCATACAGGACTTGGTTTTCTCCAACCTTACGATGCTAAACAACCAACCCAAAGGGTAGTGTAAGTAATTGGTATTGATTAATGTATAATAACACTAGCTGGAAGTTGTCTTTATAGTTTATGTCATCACTGATGTAACGGTGTAACTTGGACAAGAATTGTATAAAATGTAGGTACAGCTTGGCAGACACTGCTGACTGCACACCAAGATTGTAAGACCAAGATTATAGCCGATGCAATGTTGAAATAACACCAACATATAATTGCAGAAGTGCCTCTGAAATGATCATAAAGTGATGGACATACTCACAAAACATTGCTTCCTTTTGCAAATGAAAGTAGCATACAAAACTCCTAACATTTACAATACAAAATAAACCAGTCAAAAGATAAGGCCACATCAATTTGTTTTGGACTGTTATAACAAAAGAACATGCATACTCATTTCTGTCATAGCACATGCGGATGATTGGATAGCTGTCTATGTTACCTAATATGAATATGCAGCTGTTTCTGTTACCTAATATGGACAGGTAGCCATTTCTATTACCTAATATGGATTGGCAGCCATCTTTATTACCTAATATGGATTAGCAGCCATCTTTATTACCTAATATGGATTGGTAGCCGTCTTTATTACCTAATTATACACACAATGCAATTGACCCATGATGACTGTGACAATTAGATTAAAATGTGGCATTTGTCAACTCCAGCCACCAGAAGAATAAAAAACATGTAACTATATATATAGTGTATATACAAAATATGTGATAAATCAAAATTGTTTTTTTTAAGCAAAACAGAAAAGAAGATTTGTACAAAAAAAGTCTCCCCTGCATTCTGAAATAAGACGATTTGCATTATCAATGCTCAAAAGTTTTGCCATCAAATACTTGAATCTTCCTACAGTAATCTGTATTGTACATATGGTACAAAGAAATTGCACTAATCAGTTGTAATTTGGATGGAAGGTCATTGATGACCAGTGTACTTGCATAGATATCATAGTAACCGCAATTTATATCCGCTTAGAATGTACAACTGGGCACCTACATATGCATGGTGTGGTGTTAGTGCCTGGGGTTAATATGGGCAATAGATTTACCATTTAAGGTGATCATTATTTTGTCCATATCATAATCACCAATGCACTGAAAAGTGAGAAAAATCCACATGTTCATTTTTCCATTTGTTTATATATCTTGTTGTAGTCTCATCACTTCCCGTCTGCTTTTCTCGGCACCCTCCAGATCACCCATTTTTTCTTGTTGGTCGGCTAACCGCACCCAGAAAGGGATCATGGCTGGTTTTAGTTGAGTACCAATGTGGTATAGTTCAGCAGCCTTTTGTGGATGGTTCTGTCAGAGAAAGATATAAATGTGTCTAAAGTCAGTGAAATCATGGCAAAATAATATTATTTCAAATGAAAATACTTGCAGTTGCATAATATATTGATGACTTTGAACACATGACTTTGAACTTGAATACATTTATACGTGTGTATTATTTCAATCCAATCACTGAATATGATAATTAGCTGATCAGAATCGAGAGCATTAAAAACAAATAGATCAGCAACTTTTTTTAAAACAAATACCTGATATGAGTGTGTCCAGACAGTTTGATAGACATACTGGTGCCTGATATGAGTGTGTCCAGACAATTTGGTAGACATACTGGTACCTGATATGAGTGTTCAGACAGTTTGATAGACATACTGGTACCTGATATGAGTGTGTCCAGACAGTTTGATAGACATACTGGTACCTGATATGAGTGTTCAGACAGTTTGATAGACATACTGGTACCTGATGTGAGTGTGTCCAGACAGTTTGATACACATACTGGTACCTGATGTGAGTGTGTTCAGACAGTTTGATAGACATACTGGTACCTGATGTGAGTGTGTCCAGACAGTTTGATAGACATACTGGTACCTGATATGAGTGTGTCCAGACAGTTTGATAGACATACTGGTACCTGATGTGAGTGTGTCCAGACAGTTTGATAGACATACTGATACCTGATATGAGTGTGTCCAGACAGTTTGATAGACATACTGGTACCTGATATGAGTGTGTCCAGACAGTTTGATAGACATACTGGTACCTGGTATGAGTGTGTCCAGACAGTTTGATAGACATACTGGTACCTGATATGAGTGTTCAGACAGTTTGATAGACATACTG